AATTACGCAACATGAAAAGTTCAGTCACGTTATTTTTTGTGATTGAAAATTACGCAACATGAAAAGTTCAGTCACGTTATTTTTTGTGATTGAAAATTACGCAACATGAAAAGTTCAGTCACGTTATTTTTTGTGATTGAAAATTACGCAACATGAAAAGTTCAGTCACGTTATTTTTTGTGATTGAAAATTACGCAACATGAAAAGTTCAGTCACGTTATTTTTTGTGATTGAAAATTACGCAACATGAAAAGTTCAGTCACGTTATTTTTTGTGATTGAAAATTACGCAACATGAAAAGTTCAGTCACGTTATTTTTTGTGATTGAAAATTACGCAACATGAAAAGTTCAGTCACGTTATTTTTTGTGATTGAAAATTACGCAACATGAAAAGTTCAGTCACGTTATTTTTTGTGATTGAAAATTACGCAACATGAAAAGTTCAGTCACGTTATTTTTTGTGATTGAAAATTACGCAACATGAAAAGTTCAGTCACGTTATTTTTTGTGATTGAAAATTACGCAACATGAAAAGTTCAGTCACGTTATTTTTTGTGATTGAAAATTACGCAACATGAAAAGTTCAGTCACGTTATTTTTTGTGATTGAAAATTACGCAACATGAAAAGTTCAGTCACGTTATTTTTTGTGATTGAAAATTACGCAACATGAAAAGTTCAGTCACGTTATTTTTTGTGATTGAAAATTACGCAACATGAAAAGTTCAGTCACGTTATTTTTTGTGATTGAAAATTACGCAACATGAAAAGTTCAGTCACGTTATTTTTTGTGATTGAAAATTACGCAACATGAAAAGTTCAGTCACGTTATTTTTTGTGATTGAAAATTACGCAACATGAAAAGTTCAGTCACGTTATTTTTTGTGATTGAAAATTACGCAACATGAAAAGTTCAGTCACGTTATTTTTTGTGATTGAAAATTACGCAACATGAAAAGTTCAGTCACGTTATTTTTTGTGATTGAAAATTACGCAACATGAAAAGTTCAGTCACGTTATTTTTTGTGATTGAAAATTACGCAACATGAAAAGTTCAGTCACGTTATTTTTTGTGATTGAAAATTACGCAACATGAAAAGTTCAGTCACGTTATTTTTTGTGATTGAAAATTACGCAACATGAAAAGTTCAGTCACGTTATTTTTTGTGATTGAAAATTACGCAACATGAAAAGTTCAGTCACGTTATTTTTTGTGATTGAAAATTACGCAACATGAAAAGTTCAGTCACGTTATTTTTTGTGATTGAAAATTACGCAACATGAAAAGTTCAGTCACGTTATTTTTTGTGATTGAAAATTACGCAACATGAAAAGTTCAGTCACGTTATTTTTTGTGATTCAGACATTTCAACTGGTTTTAGCGCATCTTGGATACGAACAATACGAACAGCATACTTTATTAAGAACGAAACACAGCGAGGATATTGTAAATGGAATTACTTTTAGAAATGGGTCTGTTTAATGGAGAAATAAACTGCGAGGATGTATACGGTCCGTGAAGGTTGTACGGCCAATAAAATCAGGATGAAGTGCACTCTACCTATACTCTTCCTGTATCCTCTAAAACAGGGTTGCATTTATTGAAAAGCAGAGTGGAATGCGGAGACCGTGATAAAAAATTGTGCAACCTATGAAAGCGGATTTCAGTCTAAAAGGAGATTAACTAATCGAAAAGAAAAACGAGTATCATCGACGTAGAATTTAGAAACGTAATATTATCAAGCCCATGAGCAAAAAAGAATCATGACAAAATGTCAGCAGAATTGTCCAGAAGTAATTAGCAATAACCAAAAACCTAGACATTTCCTGGAAAGGAAACAGAAATTTCTGAAAAGAGAAATTTTTACCAAGTTTCTCTAGAAGCTGTTACGGGCAGATAAGAGCCTGGGACCTAGAATGCTTCCGCAATTCAAAAAAGATCCAAAAGATCGCAGAAAATTTTTGAAAAGTGTAATTGATTTACCGAAAGGGGAGACGAAATGATAGGGCGTAGAGACGACGAGAAGACGAAGAAGTCTGTGAACACAGAATTAATCGAAGAAAGGTCAGCAGAGCCGTTAAGGGTTGAATACAAAACAGCCTGGGACCTAAACGTGTCGCACAGCAGCTTCCGCAAAAACAATATGTAATATGTAATACGTAATTTTGGATTTAACTAGATCGTCGACCCGGAGGCTGCTCGACGAACTCCCGAATCACGGTAAAGTTCAAATCTGTTCCCGAATCAGGATCGATCGTGCAACTCTGGTTTACATAAGCTTCCCGCTTGATCACCATTAGCAACTTGTTCGATCCGACTAATTAATAAATCACGTTCGATACTCGTACATGTAATTGACTCCTGTTTAACCCTTTCGCTGAAAACAGCGCCTTTTGGCGCTCGGCTATAGACACTTTCTCTCAGCGAACAGCGCCTTCTAGCGCTCGATTATTATGTTTTGTTATAATATATTATATTAATTGTCTATATTATTTAAGACTATTAAAAATTACTAAAATTGTTATTATCATTATTATTACTATAATTGTTTGGCTGCCGTGTCGGCCAGTATCGCCTCAAAGAAAAGACCAGCAAATCGCGCCGGCTGCTGAGAGAGTAATTCATTTTTAGGCGTTCCGCAGCGGAAGGGTTAATAAGAATCGAAATCCCGGTTGGCGGGATTACGGAATCTCAAATATTCCGCGCTTTCTATTTGCTAATTTCACCGGTCCCTTTGCTACCGTTTTGTTCCCAAGCCGTTCAATTCTTAATCAATAATTGACGAGGAAAGTGCTTGGTTAACGCGGTCGGAAAACCGAGTTACCTTCGCACTAACAGCATAGACGCTCTCGCTATATATGACGCAGTTCTGCGTCATTTTATATTTACGAACTGCCATGAATTGTACAGTTAGCGGGACTCCGTTCGAATTTATGGTCGCCGCGGCTGTCTAGAAACGAATCGATGCGGCGGCCACATGCATCTGTTGCCGTATAAGATCGTTGTCAAATGTTTCATCTCTGTACCGAACAAATGAAACTGTCTCTTGACAAATTTCATAGGACTTCGAACATTCTTTCTCGCAATTGTGCTCGGACAACGAACGGTTACGAAGACGATGCTCTATGTTTATATTATAGCGAAGTAAACAATCTGATATAAATTTCTTGTTTGTCACGAACGAGAATAAGAGAAACGTGTCACATATAAGCATAGAAGCGCGAAAACGCTTTGTTAAAAAATTATAAGAAAAACACGAAATAACAACGGACTGATTGCAAATATATTTATCTGCCGTTTATATATTATTATATATTATATTTATATTTACTATTATATATTATTATATTATATTATTATATATATATTATTATTATTATTATATTATTATATATATATAAATATATATTATTATTATATTATTATATTATATTATATATTATTATATATATATTATATATTTAGTATGAGCCGTTTATATTTTGAAAGTGGCATAAGTCACTTTACCGTAATGAAAAGTGATGTTTTTTTTTAATGTTTATACGAAATTATTTATACCGAGAAAAATATCAGTATCCTGAGATAACAAATACAAGTAAATCTTCTCGAAAGTTAGCATCCATATTTTTAAACGTGTTAAAACGCAAACCCTTAAATATATCGACTTCAAAACAAAGTGACTTATGCCACTTTCAAAATAAACGGCTCATATGTTAGTTCCATTTCGAAGTGTCGCTCGTTTTGAAAAATACAGCATCGATGTATATGAAAAAATGAACGAATTGGTGAACACAGCTTGTTTAAGTAAATACAGATAAGGAAAATAACGCATTTCTACGAAAATCCATCGGTTGTTGTACGTATTTTTCTTATAATTGTTACAATTTATTTAAAAACATAAATTCTCATAATTTATGTTTCTCTTATTTTCGCTGGTAGGATGTGCTGCTACCGTTTGTCCGAAAAAAAACTGGGACACGATGTATGCATAGTGCAGGTCATCGCTATTTATATAGAAAGACGATGTACAGAAATTCTTGTTTCAGCAGGATGCTTATTCTGTATACAAATCAATCCAGTGCTGCGTCCATAAAGGCCATCATATTCCATTGTGAACTGTTTTGCATAAAATCCATGGGTACGTACCCATACGCAGCCTGTATAATCTTATTCCACTACAATGGTCAATCCCGACCGTGAACAATCCGGTATACATAAAAAGAACTTTAAAAATGATCTACCTTGAAAATCTAACTCGACCCTAAAGGATGACCAGTTAGATCAATTTCTGACGAATGCAAGCTGTTAACCCTTAGAGCTCTATGGACGCATACATGCGTTTGGCAAAAGTCATCCGTGTAGCCTAAGGCCGCATTTATGTGCTTTCTCTAAGTCATCGGCCTGGACTAAGAGCGCATATATGCGTTCGTCGATTTTTTCAATCAATATGCAGTTATTTTCGTGTAAAATTAATACAGGGACACTCGTATCGGTCTATGTACTGATAATTGTTTTGAAATTTTTCGCACACAATTAAATCATTAATTCCTGTGTGTGTTGTAAATATCAAATTAAGTTCTCTAGTTGATCGTAAAATTTAATGTTTTAAATTGCTAATGTTTATAATACATAATTTTAATGCTCAAAAATAACAGTCTTTAATAATTTAACCTTCTGCAAAGGAATCGCTATAATTTATTACTGTTCGCGCCTTGAATAGTCACTTCAGTGTGGCAAAAAAGTATTCCGTCCCCAGCGATGGTCAGCGATAGCCGCGCTCCGTCCCTACGAACCGTTTCGGTCAGGAGTATTCGGAGCTCAAAAGGTTAAAAAGCTCGTATAACAGCGTACCGTTTATCTGGCCGCGCGATCACGGCCAATGAAAGATCGTACTACTCGCGTCAAATTTACCGGCAACGGAGGAGTAAACGAACTTCCGGGCTGCGCGAGGCCGGAGCGTCACGGGCCAGACGTAGAATAATAGCAGTCGTCGACTTACCGGTCCCAGATTGACGAACCCGTTCCTGGCGGCCACGCGATCAGCGACGTGTCGCTCCGCGGGCTGGCGCATCTTCACGAGAAACGTGTTGGTGAATACCTCGGCACTGGTGCCGGCGGCGAGGAACGCGATCACCGCGAGTAGCATCGTGACGGGCCGGCGACGTGCGCTGATGTATCTCGCATTCGCGTGCACGGCACTGGTTGCAGGTACTTGCCACGGGCGATACTTCGTGTCCCGGCCGTCCGCAATGATGGTATCGAAAGGTTTCTGCTCGATGGCGACGCTGCTGCTGGTGCTGGCGACGATGTTCGTCTGACTGGTGACAGTAGTAGAGTCGACGGAGTACGAGGCTACCGAGTCGCGCGCACCGATCCAAACGACACGTGCTCTCCCCATACTTGCCACTGGCCGACTGCCTTTCGTCTCGTCTCTCGATCGGACCTCTCCGCCAATCAACGATCTGGCTGCGCACCCCCACTGTTCCGCCAATCGACGAGCATGCGCGGCGAACCCTGCCGCGAGCTTGCGCGATCGTTAGTCGCGCGGAAACCGATCGAAGCGTCGCGTGCGTGTCACACCGGACGGATACGCGGCAGCTACCGACCAGCAACAATGCAGCACAGACAAAGAAGCTTCGCTCACGGTTAGTGAGCGCCTTGTGTTATACTTGTCCGATTGTTCTGCAGGCGACTACCTGTTCAGCGCGTTTGAATTCTGCCCCATGCTCGCGGCGCCCGCCATGCGCGCGCGGATGCGCGATTCCTTGGTACGAAGACTCGCACTCTATTCGGTTGTCGAGGCCCAAAGTGAGATTGATTGTACGCTCGTTAGCATGCTCGAATGTTACCGCGATGGTTGTCTTACCGATTTTTAGACGTAAGTACGTTTGCGGCGCGGCGCCTCGTTACGCTGTACCGAGGCTTGACGTCATATGGTGTATCGATTGAAAAGTATAGTCGTAATGGCGGTAAACATGCGCGGTGAGTTGTCCGGCGGCATATAGAGTTCGCGCAACGTGGCATGATCGTTTGTTCGGCTACGTTTGTTTGAATCCCTCGTGTCGGCGACATTTATCTTGTTAATTGTTGCGCTGCTCGGTCAGATGCTCGCGCCTGCGTAGAAGGAATCGTGCGCGGAAGTAGTAGGAACTATGACTAGGCGGGCACTGGTGCATACATATGTTTTCATTTGGACGTGGTGATGTATTGTTTGGGAGTCCGTTAACGTTCGCTAATTACACGATATTCGTTGATAGCGAATAGTAGTATATATATACTACTACTCGCTATCTCAACGAATATATATAATATAATATATATTATATATATATAATATAATATATAAAATTATATATTATATATAGCCACAGTAGTATACGTCTGATTGTGTCAGACAAGGGGCACGAAACGGTGATTCGATTAAAGTAAACATTGCCGACCAAATATATAGGAATTATATTTGATAAAATACTGTATATGTATAGTATTGTAACGTTCTACAGTGTCATGGCTAGTCGCTCATGTTCGTTACATCTGTTTCACGTGTAAAGGCACTGTCTAAACACACGTTACAAACAAATAAATATATTTCGGAACCAATATAATATACATCGATAATTACTCTTTTTTATACGGTACTTATAATTTATCGGTTGTCCCTGCAAAATAATACCAGTTCCTTCAACGATCATAGAATAGAAAATCATTTCTGTTTAAAAACTGTGGAACATGATTCTTAACTGTATTTATAACTTGGATCTTTATACTGTTAAAAAATATCTATTAACTAAAATCTTTATTTAAACAATAATACAGTTTACATCACAGAAGCACTGGTAAGTGGCACGTCGGTGGTTGTATGTAGAACAACGTTGCTTCGTAAAAAACTGGTCTTCCAGGTGGATCTTGCCGAAGACAATCACCTTTTTACAGGTCTCTTCACTGGAACTACTGATTGAGAACTAGATACTGAACTCCTCTGCAGTTTCCGTTTAGCTTCTAATTTCATCTTCGCCTCCAGACGTTTTCTTTCTATCTCTTGGGGGGTACACTGAGTGGGTTGAACCGATTTGGCAGTCTCCTTTTGCGTGCTTAAATTACTAGTAGACATATATTTCACGGTACGGTCACTAGCTTGGCTTTCTTGCAATCCGTCGATTGTTACATTTTCCGTGCCGCTATTCGATGGAAAATCATTACTCGCATACAGTACTTGATCATACGTAATGGAAGAACGATTACTTACTAACGAATCGTCTGTATTCGACTGATATGGTTTCTCGGAAGACGTAATAACTTTATTGGCCTTATTATTTGTGCTAGAATTTTTAAGCCGTTGAAAGTACTGACCTGACAGACTTTTTGTTTTAAAGAACTTTCGATTCTCTAAGCCAACCTTTTCTGTTAACGTTTCCTTACAACTGTCATTTCCATAATCATCTGCCAAATCATTACCAAATGATAGCTTAGAAATTTCGTGATCGTTAGTCTTATTATGTATTGTGACAGTATTAGAAGGCTTCGCAGCGCAATTGCTCGGAGATCTTTTATTCCCTATAGTATTAGAATTACTTTGTCTAGAATAAGTTTTCTTCTGATGATCCTGAACACGATTGATATTCAAAACACCGAAATCGTATTCAGACGACTTGGAAAGTAATTTCTCATCCTCTATGCAAGTCGCTAAACAATCGTCAAACGAATCGTCCGGAAAATCTGACAAATCTTTTACTTTCCCATTCTGCATATCCAGCATGTTGTTATTTAAAATTCTTTTTTGTTCACTAGAATTTTTCGAACTAGAAATTGAACAATTCGAGCTCATTTTACTGGAATTGTTGGAGTATGTTTTGAAATGATTGCTTGTGTTAGTGGGTAACGAACTTTTAGAAGTCCCAGAATTTTTCAAATTGGAATTATGAGAAGTTGTTGCGTATTGTATCTCTTTTTCTGAGATACACAATTCTAGCTCTTGTTTTTCAGCCACAATAGACAACTCCATGCTTCCTTTACTTTTATTTATTCTCAACTTCTCTTCAATTTCCTGACTACACCTTACCATTGAATCCTCGATCGAATCATCAAACAAATCTTCATAATTTGTTTCCTTCTTATCAACGTCCTGAATTGTAATTTTAGGTTTGTCATTGTCTTCGCGAACTTCTATCACAAAATCTATATCATTGTCATCATCAAAATCTATCATTTTAGGTTCAGTTTGGATCTCGCTATTTCCTTGCATAGTTTTCATCTTCTCTGTCAGAGCTTTCAATTCAGCAGTCAGTTTCCCAATGTTTTCCATATTTTGCATTCTCATTTGCTTTCTTTTAAGCGGCTTTTGCAACAAAGGAGAATTAGAGTTTCTTTTCTTTTGCAACTGTTTGGTCCTCTTGGGAGTTTGCATTAGATTGGCTGCTGACATAGGTTTGTCATTGGAGCTCTTACTCGCAGAAACTTGCCAGTCCCACGCAATTTCGTTGCCACCGTCTTGAGTACATTGCTGGGAAATCGGACTATAATTATAATCAAGTTCAGGGGAGTCCTCTGCATCGTATATGTACTCCCTCTTATGAATTGGTGTACTATGTCCAGAAAGGCGCGACTCCGAGGTACGTTTAGGAGAACTAATTTCTCTATCGAGCTTCATGCTTTTCTTAACTGGAGCAAAAATATTCATTTTGTACATGCCCTGATTTGAATATAATGTACAAAACTTGTACGTAATAAAATGATGTTCCTTACCTTCTTCTGAATTGTCAGTGTTTTTATTTCCATATTGTCGGGCAATTTTTTTGGTCAATTTGTTGTATTTACTCATAATTGTCGCAAAATCAATTTGTAATATCAATGAATACACGGTTTAGCACTCGATGGCTAAACACAAACAAATTCATCACATATTTTGCGAACTTAAAATAACCACGGTGCCGGTAAAGCATCCAAAAGACTTGTGGCAACGGTATCCGTAACTTTTCTGTAACTTTCTCTTTAAGTTTGTATGTACACAGTAACTTGATCTAATACATATGTCCCACAGTGACAAAATCAAATGCAATCAAAAGTAAAAGCAAGTGTGCAATTTCACAACTTATCAATTTCGACATCGACAAACAAACTGCATAGATGGGACAGTATTGCCGATTATTTAGGTTAAAAGCGCGGCAAGACTTGAACGATGCTTTATTTCGATTTCGATTAAGTCAAAAAATTGCACTCTACATATAAATGGATTACAGTAATTTAAACATTTGATAAAGCGTACTTATGGAGCTTTCATTTGAGCATGCAACAATTTAAAGAATTTTCAAGGGGAAGCATTGAAATATTATTTCTACCGTAAGTGGCAATAGTGGCGCCGATTGTGACAAAATTTCGAAGCTTAGTTGAGAGGTCGGTAACGTACTTACGCAAACTTCTCGTCAAAATTATAGGTGTTATCGCATACAAGGTATAGGAGTAGAGATTTGTGCCATCTACCCAATGTATTATCATTATCACAGACGAGGTATGTATCCACGCCAGGAATAATATTATTGAATATTACAAAAGTCCACCAGCAACAAACTGGATTAATTAGATTAATAAAAAAGAAGACACCACAATTATTATATTTGTAAATATAAAGAGTTCTAGATATTTTATAAATTTGAATAAATTAACGTTTTGAATAAGAATGTAAGGATTCCTCTAATCCGAAAATATATCAACCAAACTTATTCACCGAAACAACCGAGAGGGAGCTCGATGACATCGCTGACAGAAGAAATTGTTATAACCATTAAATACCGCAAAGTAAGTAATTTACCGATAATTCTTGATCACGATAATCTAGATTCCATGGAGTCTAATTTATTTGACTTTCTTCTAATGTACACTAATATTTTCAGTGAAACTAAACGAACCAAAAATACAAGATATTGTTTGCAGCACGAGTACGTACGTTTCATATAGATTTTCACATCGAACTACAATAGAATCTCGATCAACTACAAAAACAACGCATATATCTCTACGAAGGAACACGAAAGAAAAACACATTCGACACTTTGGGCTAGTTTTATTAATTCAATTAACAACGTGTTTATAATACTCTTCATCTTTTCCTCTTATTTATAATTACATAATTGTAATGAACTGTTTATTGTTTTCTTTAGACCCGTCGTCTTTCAACATCTTAGCGTAACTCATTCAAAGTCGCGGACACACGCTTGCAGAAGCACAATAGGATCAATCACGGTCATCATCATCATCATTATCATCATCGTTATCTTTATCATCATCATCGCCATCCTCATCATCATAAACTTCATCACCATTGTCATGAACCTTATTACCATTATCGTCGCCCTCATCGTATCATCATCATTCTCATCATCACCAAACCCAATTGGAATCGTTAATCGTAACAGTCGTCGTCAGATAATCACTCAGCGCACCTAGTACTTAGTTTTTACTGGATATGGCAGCTACAACTTATAAGAAATATTACAAAATCACCGAAGATTCGTTCGTTCATCTTTGCGTTTACGAATGGTATCGTCACACTCACACTAAACACGATTCATACCGGGCACGGTCTCTCCACGGGTATATTGTTTCTTTATCATTTTTTGTTTGTTTGTTTGTTTGTTTATTTCTTTGTTTCTACGCGACGATTCTTGTCAGTTAACGATTTCAGACTTGTCTTCGTGCGAGTTGGGCCTGTTCGGAACGTTGTCGACAAGAGTTAAATCGCGTGCGGTTGCTTCCGACGCGTAAATCGCTGGCGGAACGACGCGCGCGTTTCCTAAATACATACAATATTTGTGTCACCTCCTTACGCTTTCCGTAGCATCATCATCATCATCATCATTATCACTATCATAATCATTATCATCATCATCATCATCATTATCCTCATCATTATCATCATCATCATCTCTCCGTAACGTCGACGTACCTACGTATTTAAATCGCGTTTCTCTCGCTTCAAAACGAAGGATCAATGGGCGCGCGCGCGCTCTCTTTCTCTCTCTCTCTCTCTCTTTCTTTCTTCCTNATTTGACTTTCTTCTAATGTACACTAATATTTTCAGTGAAACTAAACGAACCAAAAATACAAGATATTGTTTGCAGCACGAGTACGTACGTTTCATATAGATTTTCACATCGAACTACAATAGAATCTCGATCAACTACAAAAACAACGCATATATCTCTACGAAGGAACACGAAAGAAAAACACATTCGACACTTTGGGCTAGTTTTATTAATTCAATTAACAACGTGTTTATAATACTCTTCATCTTTTCCTCTTATTTATAATTACATAATTGTAATGAACTGTTTATTGTTTTCTTTAGACCCGTCGTCTTTCAACATCTTAGCGTAACTCATTCAAAGTCGCGGACACACGCTTGCAGAAGCACAATAGGATCAATCACGGTCATCATCATCATCATTATCATCATCGTTATCTTTATCATCATCATCGCCATCCTCATCATCATAAACTTCATCACCATTGTCATGAACCTTATTACCATTATCGTCGCCCTCATCGTATCATCATCATTCTCATCATCACCAAACCCAATTGGAATCGTTAATCGTAACAGTCGTCGTCAGATAATCACTCAGCGCACCTAGTACTTAGTTTTTACTGGATATGGCAGCTACAACTTATAAGAAATATTACAAAATCACCGAAGATTCGTTCGTTCATCTTTGCGTTTACGAATGGTATCGTCACACTCACACTAAACACGATTCATACCGGGCACGGTCTCTCCACGGGTATATTGTTTCTTTATCATTTTTTGTTTGTTTGTTTGTTTGTTTATTTCTTTGTTTCTACGCGACGATTCTTGTCAGTTAACGATTTCAGACTTGTCTTCGTGCGAGTTGGGCCTGTTCGGAACGTTGTCGACAAGAGTTAAATCGCGTGCGGTTGCTTCCGACGCGTAAATCGCTGGCGGAACGACGCGCGCGTTTCCTAAATACATACAATATTTGTGTCACCTCCTTACGCTTTCCGTAGCATCATCATCATCATCATCATTATCACTATCATAATCATTATCATCATCATCATCATCATTATCCTCATCATTATCATCATCATCATCTCTCCGTAACGTCGACGTACCTACGTATTTAAATCGCGTTTCTCTCGCTTCAAAACGAAGGATCAATGGGCGCGCGCGCGCTCTCTTTCTCTCTCTCTCTCTCTCTTTCTTTCTTCCTCTCTCTCTCTCTCTCTCTCTCTCTCTCTCTCTCTCTCTCTCTGGATCAATCTCTGGATCACTAATAAATAATCGCACGCGCGCGTTCGATTAGGAAGAACAGAGTAAAACGTATATCGTCGCGCGAGCGCGCGCGCCCACGCGAACAAAGTGTATGCGTGTATATTTATCGTGTGTGCGTATATTTCGAGATCTTTACAAGTAGTTGAGCTGTAAAATCGAACAAGTTCTGAACAAAGCCGCGCGAGTGCCGATGTCGCGGAGCGTTTTTTCGTAATTTTTTTTCTTTCTTTTGTTTGGGATTCGCGACTGCAAGAGATTCACACCATACCCCGTCCGTACACGCATTCACTCCTTCGTTCTATGGGCTGCATATGCAAATTTTTCTCTTCTAATTAGTCTTCTAGTAATTCAGTATTAATTAGTTACACAATTAATTTTTATTTAATCGCTTGTTTAATTAATTACCTAATCGTTAAATCTGTATATCTCATGGATCCGCGTTGTCTGTTTTATCATTTTATTCGCTTATGTTGTATTTGTAGAATAGTATCTCGTGTGAGTCCTGTAGTGTAGTTTTTATGTCTTTTAATATGGGACACGTACGAGTATCTACGCGCGCGTATGTATGTGTGTGTACATATTTCTCTCTCTCTTTCTCCCTCTTTGCCTCCGTATATGTTGTATGTATGTATGTATGTATGTATGTTTGTGTGTGTTTCTATGTGTTCGTGTGGGTTTGCATGTGCGCGCGTCTCTGTGTAAGTGTGCAAAGTGTGTTCCTCTAGAATTTTTGTTTCTCTTCATTTTCGCTCACTTTTTTTTCCATCCCCTTTTTTCGATTTAACGCGAGACGGTGTTTCGTATTATTTCATTATAGCTGGTATATTCTATCTATTTACTTGAGTTTACGTGTTATAAATATCGTATAGTAAATCGCGTTTTGTTACTTCGTCATTCAGTTATGCGCTTTGTACAAGGGTGCAATGCGAACCGAGTGATATTTGTCTTTTTTCTTCTTTTTTCTCCTTTTTCTCCTTTTTATTTATTTCGTTTACGGTCGACGGTGTGTACGTGTGTGTGACGTGTGCGGAACGTAATCTCGCCGCAAAACCAGTCCGATCGATAAAACCGCCTGCCGCCATCTCGAGGACGTCCGAAATTTTCGATGTTCCGATTCGCCGATTTTCTTCTGATTTGCTGCGAATTAACAGTTGAATTCGTCGGCAAATTTTGTTTCGTTTACTGCTGCATTAGGCTCGATAATTGTCAGCACGTTTCGTCAGCAAAATCAACAACAGAGCAAATCTTGATCATGAACTAGGAAGAATCGATGGCACAAAGGGATCAAGGTTTACATCGAGGGAAAAAATTGGAGGCAAATGCCGACAAAAGCTTGACTGCGGATTTTAAGCATTTATAATAGAAACGCACAGATAAAATCTCAAACAGCTGGAACGTTAATAGAATTTGGAATGTTTATTGATTATTTTCAACTCATTGAGATTGCTAGACAGGGAGAGAAACTTCTATATAATTTCTGTTTGTGCTGCAATTGCGCAGAACAGTTTACTCTTGCAGTCTATTGATTACTCTAAATGCTGGCTTACAATACTTCCGCTGGTCTGCAAATTTGTCTTCGTAGGAGCAAGCTTTATTTTCGTGACTTAAATGATAATTTGTGGATGCAAATCCCAATTAATCTACTTCCCTCAGAATTTGTCGACAAAGTTTCCTAGATAAATGCATAAGAAAGCTTCGCGAGCTGCATGTTTGTTGTAACTTCTTTCAAACGAGTATGAAACGAAACTGCTTCGGTAATTCTCAGCTTACACACAAACAGTCAACAAAATACCATTTGTACTTCAAAACAGAACAACTTTGTCCAAATTCGTTCGATCCTCTTGAATTTCATTTAGATGTAAAGAAGGCTTTAATCGACCGGATAAAACAATTGTCGAGAAAATTGCATTCGGTAAGAATTGCAAGACAAATACTAAAAATCGCGGTTTGAAAATTTTCTCTCCGTGCCATCAAGTTACAGAAAGAAATCTTTGCTATTTCCTCCGCGATTCCAACCGGAGACAACTTCCCCAAAAAAATGTCTCAATGGATCAGCTTCCATAAAGATTCGTAGTTTAGAAAGAACTGAAAGAGAAGTTGCTCCATTTCAGAAAATGTACAAACTTTCTCGGCTGAAGTATCGCAATGAATATGGCTGCGCCGAGGTGCACGTTTAACTGCTTTGTACAACCGGTTCGAAGGGATTGAGGAAGGCGTGGCAGATCGTGTAGACTTTGAAACCGGAAGGAACCGGGTTCGGACGTCCCCGATCTGGCGGTGAATCGAGTCGAACGGAAGGAAAGTTCATGAAAACGACGGAAGAAACGGAAGCGAACCGAAATCGTTCGAAGAGGAGAGTGGTGGAACCGAATGAGAACTGGAACGTAATGTAAACGATACGGTGAAAGAAGAGTAGCGCTCGCGCATATACTCGAAAAGAGGGTCGCCGCGACGACGAGCCTCCTCGTAGACGTTTCGAAGTACTAGACGAAATCGGCGAAGTTCTCCTACTGCTTAAAATTACAAGTAAACGACTAGTTTTGTCGATAGTCCAATGTACCTTCAACTTGAACGGATTGACTATTTAACGGTGGGTTAGACTATCGACCAGTAGCGCTGCCCTAGTTTTCTTCATTTCGTGTAAATAGTTTACAAGAGAGTACGATAGGAGGCAATAATAGGTTTCTTTACGGATAGTCGATTGACAGATTTCGGAATAACGGTACAAGTGTTGTTCACTCGGTCAACATTCACGAACAGCTCTCGAACGACCGTTCCTTCTTCTCAACCAACACGATCCCCCTCCCACCCCCCAGCCCCATACCCATACCCATCCCTAATAATTAATTTCTGTTCTCGTTATCGAATCGTATCCCTTGAATCTGCATCCGATGGAGCAATCGCGGGTGCTTCGCGGATGGTGCTCGTTCGACACTCTTTGGTAATACTTGCACGGTTCCCATCGTAGCTTCGTAATCCGTACTGGCTGACGAAAACAGCGATAAATTCGTGGTTGTGTTGTGCGCGCGATCATGTTCGACGGCACCGGGAATGTCTCGAGAAGAAATGCAGCGAACGAAAGAACGGAAGGGAGAGACAGACACAGAGAGAAAAACGTGGAAAAGTAAATGCGAGACACGATTCGGCCGTGAAGAGAGAAAGAGAGAAAACTCTGTGGGTCGCGGCGAAGTCGCCGCCGGGGGACGTTGAACGATGGTAGTTCGTCGGTGGATCATTTTCTCACGCGTCACCGCTGACCACCCGATCCCCTCGATGCTCTTCCAAGGAAATGGTTCACGTCGGATCCGAGGAACGCTGATTATCTTACACAAATATCGAGAGATATTGGAGACGTTATGTTCTCTTGGTTTTTGATTGTCGTGTTCGGCGCCCCGAGGCCACGACACCTCAGCTTTGTCTCTTTGCTTTCTCTTCACCCCGAACATTATATAGAATAGAGTAACGAATAAACGTTGGCTCAGCAGCGACAGCGAACAGCAGCAGTAGCGGCATCAGCGGCAATGGAAAAAATTCTTCGTGAACACACGGCCAAAAGTAGACGCGCCCTCGCGGTATCATCGTTATCATGCTTACACAGAGATCGGTCGCAGGATCGACGCGGTGTGAAATGTATCATTCGTTTGTTCGTTCGATTGGTCCGACGTGTATGTACGTGCCTGTCTGTCCCGAATTGACCACGGTTCCGATGTTCAGCGAGCACCGCGAATAACTGCGGTCACGAGCAGGGAACAAAACCGTGCTGCTCCCCGCGAAACGATCGCGATTGGACCGGCCGTTCGGTGGATCGTGATCCGACGATCATAGCTTCACGTTCGACGAGCCGTTGCAGTCTGCGATGTTGATTTGACGGACTGGCGTGGTTCGCTGTCAGTAGACCCAGGACACAGGCACCCACTGCGGTGTCGTATGGACCCGTTCGATCGCGGCCTCCAGCTGCGCGATCGTCTCCTCGATGTCGTTGTTCACGATGGTCAGGTCGAAGAAGTGCCCGTACACCTGCTTCAGCGAGTCCGATTCCTTCGCCAATCTCTCCAGGCTTCCGTCGCACTGCAACAAACATAAACGGACACGTATAGTAGTCGCTACCATCGACAAGGATCGCTCAAACATTATGTCCTGGTACGCTGAAATTCCTTCGACTCTAGAAGAACAGAGATCTGGGTACATGAAATACCCTTTGCAAGAATTATTCGACTAATAAGCTTCTTTTTGGCACGCTAATATATCTCAGACATCGGTACAACGATGACGATATAGTCATATGTGATACCTTCTGCAAGGATTACTTAACTGTTATACCTGTTTCTGTAGACTAAAATCTTTCAAACTATATCAGAATAGAAATACAGGTACGTATGACCCCCTTTTTACAAGAATTGCTCAACTATTATAGCTGTTTTGGTACGCTAAAATCTCTCAGACTCCATCAGAACAGAAATACGGGTACATATGATCCCTTTTACAAGAATGACTCAACTATTATAGCTGTTTTGGTACACTAAAATCTCTCAGACTCCGTCAGAACAGAAATACAGGTACATATGATCCTTTTTACAAGAATGACTCAACTATTATAGCTGTTTTGGTACACTAAAATCTCTCAGACTCCGTCAGAACAGAAATACAGGTACATATGATCCTTTTTACAAGAATGACTCAACTATTATAGCTGTTTTGGTACACTAAAATCTCTCAGACTCCGTCAGAACAGAAATACAGGTGCATGTGGTACTTGCTATAAGAATTACCCAACCATTGGTCCTGCTTTGGTACGCTAAAATCTTTCAAACTTCAGTAGAACAAATATAAAGGTACATGTGGTACTTGCTACACAAATCACTCAAAAATTATTCAACTATTATACTATATATACTATATATTATGCTTAGGTACACTAGAATCGGCCAGACTTCAACAGAATAGAGATACAGGTACATATGGTACTTGCTACACAAATCACTCAAAAATTATTCAACTATTATACTATATATACTATATATTATGCTTAGGTACACTAGAATCGGCCAGACTTCAACAGAATAGAGATACAGGTACATATGGTACCTTTTATTATTATATTATAAGATTATTATTAGAATTATTTAACCATTATGCCTGTCTTAGTACGCTAAAATCTGTCAAGACTTCAACAGAACAGAAATACAAATACATGTGATATCCATCTTATCATGATATCCTAAAATCTCTCAAACTTCAGTAGAATAAAGATGCGGGTACCTTCTACAAAAATTATTCAACTATTATACCTGTCTTGGTACACATAAATCTGTAAAAACTTCATCAAGATAGAAATACAAGTACATACGGTATCTTCTACTAGAATAATTGAACTAATAAGAACGCCTTGATACGTTAGCGTCCCTCAGACGTCAGCAGAATTTTCTGTTAACTAACTTTCGCCACTGCATCGCAGAATAATTTGAAACATCGAACATTTTTAATTTCCTTTGGGAAATCAAAGTTTTTAAGCATTAATTACGTACCTTAAAGTAGTTTATGAAATTTGTACAGAATTTTTAGGACGTCAAACATCATAAATTTTCTAAAGAAAACAGAAAAGTTAGGAGGGTTAAAAGAGAATGGGATTTAGAGAAATAGTCCTTTCATTGAGTTCTTAGCAAATTCTCGTGTCTTTAGATATCTTTTTTTTGTAATTTCGACACCCATTAAAGAAGAACGAAGTTTCGGACGGTATTCCTAATAAATTCATGCATCCAACATTTCTTATGTAACCTCGGCAGCCATTAAAGAAGGATATGAAGTTTCCGAATTGCTTTGCAGTAAATTCCGTGTATCTTCAGCAACCATTAAAGGAAGACGAAGTTTCTGAATTTCTTTGTAATGAATTCATGTGTTTAACATCTTTTACGTAACTTCAGCAGCCATCAAAGAAGAATGAAGTTTCCGAATTGCTTTCTAGTAAACTCATGTACATATTTCGAAACATTTTTTTCGTAACTTCAGCAACCACTAAGGAATGACGAAGTTTCTTATATTACTTCCTAACAAATTCATGTATCTTGAAACATTTTTCCCGCAACTTTTGCAAGTATTAAATAGGGGTGAAGTTTAAGTATTTCGTTACAGTATATTCGTGACCGCTAAAAAACATTGTTTTCTTAGTAAGAAATATATATTTTAACCCTTTGCACTCGAGTGGTGACTCTGAGGCACCATTAAAAAATTGTTACATCACGTTCCAAAATAATTTTTATATTATAAAAGTCTAGACGTAAAAAATTGTTAAAAGTCTAATTGTTGTACGAGTCGCAAGACTATAAATTTCGTATTCATAAAATGCACTTTGTCATATAAAATGGAAACACCGTAAGTCAGAAAAATTAATTTAGATTTACAGTTAAAATGGCTTCGAGTGCAAAGGGTTAAAAGGGAAAGTTAGCACGCGAATTCGTCTCTATATCTCGCAGAATGTATTGCCAGTCTTCGAAATTAGAAATATTTAGTTGAAGTGTCTTTAGTTAAATTCATTTCGACACTGTGTACGACTTGACGACAGCAGCTTATACTGTGTTTAAAATTGCAAAAATTTATAAGAGAATTACAAAATAGTGAAAATATTGCAAGAGTTCAAGAGCACTTGTTATATTATTTTCAATTGATTAAAACTATTAAAAGAACAGATGCATTTTTATTTCACTCGTGTTTCATGCAATTAATGAACATTTTTATTTTGCATAGAGATCCGCCGTCTACTAACGATTATAGATATTCGTATTTCTTTAAAGACTGTTTAAAACTGTATTCCTTGAAAAACTATTTAAAAACGTATTTCTTTAAAAAGTATTCGAGAATATACTTTTTTAAAAACTATTTAGAAACGTGTTCCTTTAAAAACTGTTGGAAAATATATTTATTTAAAAACTGTTTAAAACTGTATTTCTTGAGAAACTATTTAAAAATGTATTTCTTTAAAAACTATTTAAAAACGTATTTATTTCTTCAAAAACTACTAAACGTATTTCTTCTCTTAATGATTTGAATCGATTGAAGGTAACACATAACAGTGTTCGTCAGTGCCTCCAATATTTTCATATTGTTTCAAATGCACAAATTCATAAAAATCCGTAGTCTAGTTATAAAAGGAGGTCTTTTGACTCTCGATCTTTCCGATCGATGCGAAAAATTCTGCATGAAAATCAGGAGTCATACAACCAGCCGTAGAAATAATTTATCGTCACCGAGCGACGTTAACCCTTTGCACTCGAGTGGTGAGTCTGAGCCACCGCTGAAATTATTGTATCACGTTCTAATATCACTTTTATATCATCGAAGTTTAGATTATAAGTATTATTAAAAACATAACTGTTCTATAAATCAGGAGACTCAATTTCGTATGCATAAAATGCACTTTGTCATATAAAATGGAAATACCATAAGTCAGAAAGATTAATTTAGATTTACAGTTAAAATGACTTCGAGTGCAAAGGGTTGATAATTATTAAATATATATTTTCTATATATTTAATACATATTTTAATAATTTTGCGTTAGAGTTTATCGCGGAAACAATTTAAGTTAGCGTGCCGCTCGGAATACTTCAGGGGACAGGAAATTTCTGGTTAAGCGGCAGTGTCGAAGCTTCATAATCGCGTCGACGGTCGATTAATCGTCTAACTAGTTAACCCCGGTGGCAATAGTTAGCTTCGTCCCCAGGAGCTTAACGATCGATGCATGGTACTTACATCGGCCATGTTCTGGAATACCGGAGCAGCGATGAATACGACATACGGTGCGAATTCTGCCGTGCGTAACACTTTCAAGGCTTGTGGCTCGACGTCCAATATGGCCACCCTTCCCTCTTCATGGATTTTACGAATCGTTTCGAGTTTCGTTCCGTACATAGCATCCTCGTGTGTGCCTGCCCAACGAAAAATATTATTTGTAGCAAACGATCGGACAAATTCGATTTACATATCATTCAAAACGACGATCTCACTTACCGTATTCTAGATATTCATTGGCTGTTATGTCAGCCATCATCTCTTCGTGCGATACGAAATAATAATTGCGACCATTTTCTTCGTCGTTCCGCGGAGGCCTCGTTGTATCTGCAACACGTTATTTAACATCGTTGTTAATTAATCATGTTCAACGTTTCAAACGTTGAAAGGAAAATGGGAAACAAAATATTTCGTCGACGGTGTTGTATCTCTGAATTAATGTTGTAAAAGACAGACGTTAGATTACGTGAGAATTATCGACATTATTAGATCAATTAGTGATCGATATAAATATGCAAGTAATGTATACAAAATTTTAGATTTGTCTTTTTATGGATTTTATAAAAATGAAAAAGTCCATTTTTAATGGAAGAATAATTGCTATAGAAGCAGTTTACAATAATATCTTTCCTTGAATAAACTATTATTAAATAATACAAGATTCTACGAATAATATATATATATATATATATATATATATATATATATTATATATGTATTATGTATTGGATTGGCAACTAAGTAACTGCCGATTTCAGTTATAGATGTTTCTCACTCCCATTTTTATGATATCCCTAAATGTTATATTATAAAATTATTATTATTATTATTATTATGTTAATTTTTTATTATCCGTGAATGTTAGCAACTGGACAAATTGAATGCAGCGGTCAAGGAAAAGCGACCACAATTGGTCAATCGCAAAGGTGTCATTTTCCACCTTGACAATGCTAGGCCGCACACGTCTTTGTCCACTCGGCAAAAATTGATGGATATTGCTTGGGAATTGATGTTACACCCATCATATAGCCCTGATCTCGCGCCATCGGATTACCACTTATTTCGATCCCTGGACAACTCCCTTCGTGGTAAAACTTTTAACGATGACGACGCTGTAAAATCTCACTTAACTCAGTTTTTGGCCGAAAAGGATCAGACTTTCTACGAGCGTGGAATTTTCAAGTTGTC